GATAGATAGATAGATAGATAGATAGATAGATAGATAGATAGATAGATAGATGTTTGTACTAGAGGGTGCACAAGTTTATTTTTGCATGTGACAAATACATAAAAAATCATTGGTTTGAATGTTATTTTACAGTGGGATGAATTTATTCATTTGTAAATCTCAAGACTCGTTTGTGTACCCTAATAGTCTCCTTTCATACCACTGTACCACATTTTGGGTAACAGTATTGTACCTGTACCCCACTGTTCTCTGATGGTAAATGAGTGTAATATACAGATGTGTGGTACACATTGTAAGTTTTTTTCCAGTGACATAACATTTAAATGCACTGGAAGGGTGAAGCCTAATGATGTGGAAATGAGACCCTTTAATCTTCGGGGTGGCTGGGAACATTACAAGAGAGTTATTTTTCAAATACATCCTCAGGGCATAACTGTAACACACAGTTTATGTATAGTAAATGATTTAGTTCATTACTAAAACCTTAAGAAGCTATTTCGTTTGGATGTTTTTCAGCTGATTACACTGATTGACAATGACCTGTGGCAGTCCTACAGAAACACAAGGAAACTATTAAACACAATAGGAGACTGTTATGCATTGAATAAGCACAGTGGTGTATAAAGGAAATGATTGTACTTTTCATCCAGTTAATGAATTGTGGACCTAAACCACAGTTCAACATCTAATGAATTATATATTCACATCTGTGTGAAATGAACTGCTGTTCCAAATAGGTATATTTTGGAATTTAAAGTTACACTTGTATAACCTCCTCAAACGCCTTAATATTATAATAAAAAAAGAATAATATATATATAGAGCGAGAGAGAGAGCGAGAGAGAAATTTTAGATTTTATATACGATTTATGAAAGAAGTTTTTGGTGACCGCATTTATTTGACCACAAATACAGTAAAAGCAGCAATATCATGAAATATTATTACAATATTTTCTGTTCCATTATATTTTAATATGTAATTTATGTTGCAAAGCTGAATTTTCAGCATCATTACTCCAGTCTTCAGTG